TCCGTGGTGTATACTCGCAATAAAAAAAATTAAAATAAGTGGTAACATTGATCATTCATTGATTATTTATTAAATCAGTATCATTGCTTGACAACCGCTTTTAAAAGGACATCACAAGCACTCGTGGAAGGATGTGTTAAAATGATAGGCAGAGAAATTAGAGAATAGAGCACTTCCCATGTACGCAAGGTCATTTCTCATAAATGATATTCTTGATGCATAACAACTAACAACAATGACAGTAATTCTTACTCGTGATTTCTACTTCCTTTTTTGTGTACTGGGGTCCGTAAATCTTCATCAGAAAGTCCAACATTCCATCGGCTTTTTTCCCAGGCAGCGGGATCTCAATGGAACTTGCCTCTTTGAATTCAGATTTGAACATGGCCCTGAACACTGGTAAGTTCAAACTCAGTATTTGGCGATGGACATGGAACTTTTCATCCTCGACAACAAGAATCACATCAACGTCTCTCCAAGGCTCTGAGAAACAGTGCTTTACCTTTTCCTTTCCTTGATCGTCTTGGACTGTTATATCAGACGAAAATTCAAAGCTTGTTTTAGACTACAGAGTACATAGATTATTATGGGTACGAAAAAACGAATAAACTACAGATGAGCGCGTCGAGCGCAAGCAAGTACAGTTGTATCTAAAGATGGAGTTTTTTTTTGCGTTTTTTTAAATATATACAGATACCGACAAAGTTCTCTTGAGATCAACGCATATTATGAGTGCATTGCGATAATTTTCCAGCCACAACTTGATGCCCCGAATAAAAACAGCTGAAGTTAATATAAAATGATATGCTGGATCGAAACGTTGTCTCGGTCCGTAACAGATCTCGGATTATTTTGACGAAAATCAGAATTGCTTTTTACCTGATCATGAGATATCCTCACAACCTACCAACTTGAATAAAATCTGATGTTCTTTATGCTTTTTCCTGATGATCAACGGTTTGGAACCAAAAAAATTCCCGGATGACTTAGCAGTGAAGAAACTGAATTCAGACTTCATCAATAGTAAATATATCTTATTAACCAAGCGCGAGGGCCGTACTGGGAGAATATATATCGGCCCGAGGTCTTGACAGTACGGACAGAGCGCAGCGAGGTCCGTACAATGAAGACCAAGGGCCGATATTCTTCCAGTACGGTCCCGAGCAAGCTTGGTTAATAAGAGATTTATTATACGGCTGAAGTTCAAAGGGACACAAGTGCGGTATCATTCGGGACCATTCGGGACAGTGCCCGGTCCAATACTTAGAGAATATTGGACCGGCAATAGAGCATTTTGATTGGTTGATTTTAGTTATTGGCCCTCTGACTGCCCGAGTCGTGTAATAATACTGTTTATTGGAACAAGTTCTTGACACTTTTTCATTTTCAGATTTGATTAATGCCTTCTCATTAGTTAAGCGTAAACAAAAGGTTAGCTAACGTTGAAGCACGGATTCCTGATGACATGGACGAAAATGTTCGACAGGGAATTAGTGGCAACTCGATAACTGGGATGAAAGTAACTCACCCTGACGAAGCTAGCGTGTCATGATATCGGGGTATTCGTTTAATACCATTTTCGTTTATATCTTTTAGAAACTTACCGGTAGGTTCATCACTTGCACCTCTCTCTACTTTGCCCACTGTTTCCTCCTCGGTGACGGAACTAGCCATCTTCAGCCTTGTGAAACAGAGATCCTTTTCGCACTAAACTACTGATGGTTTACAAAGTTCACCGCCGTTACTTAGGACTCCTCTAGCAAATTAGGGAAAGATACTCTTCGATTCAGTAAAAGTAGGGAAGTCAACACACACACACTGATAATTCTCAGAAACTACGGAAGTTGCTGATGGGAAGCCTTTTCCGAGAATTCTTCTAAGTGCTAATTAATTCCCGCCGAGGCGAGCAGTTACATTGTGGGCCTGGGGCCAGCTTTTCGAAAGTTCTAGTACTGCTGAGGGCCCGAAGCCATAATTTTCGAAAAACCTTAAGCAGAGCAATAGACGCGCAGGTCTTAGCTAAGAACCAGTCCATTATGTTTTGTGTCGTATCTTTTTAATTGCTTGAATTAGTAAAACGATTTTAAAAATACTTTGATCTTTAATAAAGCGTGCACATGTTTCTTAGTAAGGATGGGCCGATACGGCTTTTTCGAATCGATACGATACCGAGTACGATACTTAACTTTTTCTTCGATATCGATATCGATACCGAAATGAATAATAAGTCACGTGGTCTGATTGGCTTGAATGAAGACATCCTCGCACGGTTTTCAGTTCAGTTCTCTATAGTAGCATCAACAAGACAGTCGAACAAGTCTGTAATTTCTATTTATTGGGACTCATTTTTAAATTTCACGAGAAAATGAAGAAGACCGCAATATTAATGGTACAATCTTTCTAAGTACTTACTATATTAAGCAATCTGCAACTGTCACTTGCATTCATGATCATAAGGCGTACGATGAAAGGTTGTTAGTCACGGCACAGGTCACTAATGACAAACACGGGTGCACGACTTATATTATATGGGCCCTCCACTTCAATACTCGATACAACAGAGACTCCCTGGCATACAGGACCATACAGGGTGCTTTTCTCGCTCGAAGTTTTTCTTGAGTAAGCAGGCGTGGTAGTTTGCAACTCATTTTTGTTACTTCAGATATGTCCCTGTAATGCCTGGATTGTTGTGATTGTGATTTTGTTGCCGTTGTATTGAGTGACTTTACATTTACATTTAATAGAATCGGGTCCTATTTCACAGTGAAACGTACTGGGGAATGGAAGAAACCGCCACTTTGACCGGTACACTGCGGCAATCCTACATTGCACGCAAATGCGCACGTGCACAATCTTGAGCCCGGAGTATTTTAGGCTACTTGTCAGCGGTTAGTCGCGGGAGTGAAGTCGCGGGATGGTCGCGTGCAGTATCGAAATTAGTCGATACCCTTCGCTGGTAATCGATATTTTTCGATACGACCTCGGTATCGCTAGTATCGAATATTTGGTATTGGTATCTGCCAATCCTGACCAGTGGTCAGGAATACAGACTATCATCGTACCTTGAGACGTTGAAATCTAACAAGAGGGGAAATTTACTAAAGATAAGACAAAGAAATACTGAATAGCATAAACAAACTCTATTTTTCAAAGGTCCTGTTGTTTGGAAAGGCCTTGAAAGCAGTGCTAGAAATTTAGTGAGTTAAGATCATTTCAAATACTGAAATATCATTTCAATTGAGCTCCAACCGAAAGAGAGAGCACATGTAAAGCAACCCACTATCTGACTATTAAGACGAGAGATTTGCGCCCCAGTAAGCGCCAAGCAATGGGCACTTATTTGGATGCTGTGGATGTGAACACCTTGACTTGCGCCTTGAAAACGTGCGCCGAAAAAGTCTCGCTCCTGGAACAGATCATAAAAACAGGACTTGATCATATTCTTCCTATTCAATCCTGGAGGGTGCACTCTACTGAGCCCCCTTGGATCACATCTACACTTAAAGATCTTATTCAAGCACGCCAGCGCGCCCTTTCCCGTGGGGATAATCAACAGTTTCGGGAGCTAAGGAATCGCGTGAATCGCGAACGAAAAGCGTGTCGGGCTAAGTACTTTCAAGCGAAGGTGGAGCA